AAAGGTCCCAGTCACCTTCATTGGCATCGTAGCGGAACGTCTGAGACTGATTACTTGTGTTCCAGCACCGCAGTGCTATACGGTGCAGCACGACCTTTTGAAGCCGTTTTCCAAGGGCTCGGCCAGCTGAAAGGTGTTGTCTACGATATTAAGCAACAACCAGGATCCAGTGATAACATCAAAGCAGCAAGACGAATACCTGTGGCCCTCCAGGATAGAGTCAATGCAGAGGTGGACCGCATAGAAGCTGATCAAGTCGTCGAGAAGGTAAACGAACCAGCGGAATGAATCCAGGCGCATGCATGTCGTCGTAAAGAAAGATAAGGTTAGAATTTGTTTGGACCCATCTGATCTTAACATATAGCTATTGCGCGAACATTACATTATGCGGACGTATAAATATGTGTTTCCACGTCTGCACGGCGCCACCGTTTTTTTTACAATGGATGCGTTGTCGGGCTTCTGGCAAATGAAATTGTCAGAAGCAGTTCCTAGATATATACCATGAGCACACGTTATGGCAGATACAGGATTATCCGTATGCCATTCAGAATATCAACACCCCCAGAACTATTTCAGCACCCAATGCACGGCATCCTAGAGGAACTGAAGGACATAACAGTCGTCATAGACGACATCCTAGTTTGGGTAACCACGATAGAATAATATGACGTTAAAATGAAGAACTTGGTCCATGGAACGCTGCGAGAAGCACGATTTCAAGTTGAATCAGAAGAAGTGTCGCTTTCTGCGGTACGAAGTACAGTACCTGCCACATTTTTACGACTGAAGGTCTGAGCCTAGATCCAGAACGAGTCGAGGACATCCTTTCTGTTCCGAAGCCCAGAGACCGTAAGGAGTCACAAATATTTTTTTGGCATGACCAACTTTGTCGGAATGTTCGTACCAAATATGCATACTCTCTGAGCACCATCACGCAAGCTGCTTAAAAATATATCGCTTGGGTTTGGACTGAACGCTAACAAAGCAGTTTTGAAACGATCAGCGAGTCGCTTATCAAGGCGCCAGTACTTGCGTATTTCGAGCAAGGTAAGCAAGTCACGTTGCCAATTAATGCCAGCCAAACCGGTGTAGGTGCGGTGATTATTCTAAACGAATATCCCAGTGCCTACGCATCATACTCCTTACCAAAACTCAACCAAAATACGCCCAGATTGAAAAAGAGACGCTGGCTATAGTACACGGATGCAGCAAGTTCAACGATTATATTTTAGGCACTGATCTTTGACTATTAAATCGGATCATAAGCAACTGGAGGCAATATTCCGGAAACCCCTCTGTGACTGCCCGCTCCGCTTACAAAGGATAAGGCCAGTGCTTCAGCAATACCCCATTACCGTGCAGTACAAGCCAGGGAAAGAATATTTTCTTGCGGATGCGTTGTCAAGGCTGCCAACGAGGGCTATGCTAAAGGACGAAAGCGATCAGTTTCAAGTAAACGTTGTTTTCACGCTACCTGTTTCAGATGCACGAGTGAGGGACACCCTCCAAGCGACAGAAAACGACGAGGCTTTCATCCAGCTCCGAGAGTATGCATCAACATCCTAGCCAGCTGAAAAACGAGAAGTTCCGGAGTAACTTCAAACGTACTGGAACTACAGAGACGGGATGAACGTGGAAGATGGGCTGGTTGGTCTTCAGGAGCAATAAAGTGGTAATTCCAAAGGCCAAGTGAACGGAGATTTTGAAACATTTGCATACTGCACATGCGGTGAATCCAAAATGAAGATGCGCTCCTGAGAAATGATGTTTTGGCCAACCATGTCATGCGACAATAAATTAATTGTAAAGTCATGTGAAGTTTGCACAAAGAATAATCCTAGAAATGCAAGACTACCATTAGTGAGCCATGAACTGCCCCGCCTACCGTGGTAGCTGGTGGGGCTAGGCCGGTTCTTCTACAACAATTGTTGTGGTAGATCGGATCTTGTACGTTTGTTGACTGGTGATCGTTGTTGTATTCTACTTTTTTCTAAATGAAGGACCTTCGACAGTCCATGGCATCTTCAGTGGTATCCGCCTGAGCAGAAGTCTTCGCTGCTTATGGGATACCAGCCAAATGGTGCAGTGACAACGGACCCCCTTTCAGTGCGGAGCACAAGTCCTCTGCTCCTTGCACGTGGGATCCGATGATGTCAGAATGCCGAGCTCGTATTGGCTGATTGAAAAAATAGTGGGTAGAACTCAAGGCCTTTAGGATTGAGGTCTACTAACTATCCTTTAAATTAAAGCCACTCAGAGCTTGGCGTTGTTGTGACGTCACCGCAACCCCCGTGCAAGAAGCGGACGACTTGCTCTCCGCATAGTTACAACTTCAAGGACTTTGAGAATAAGTTTCGAATCTTTAACGCAACGTCAGGCCCTCACCAATCTCGCTCCAATGGAATGGCTGAGCGCACCATACGATATGCAAAGAAACTGCTAACAAGGTGCTCCTACAACACCCTTGACTTGTGCAGAGCCCTCCTGAAATGCTGCAACAGCCCGAGGGACAGCCTGCTCAGCTCACCAATACAGAGGCTAATGGGTCGTCAGACACGAACGCTGCTTCCGGTTCTGAACTGCTGCCTGGAACCTGCCGCCGTGCCGAACAAATGAGGTAGGCAACCGACTACGAGAAATCCGCAGCAAGCACCGGAAGTACTACAACCATACGAAGACCCTATCTGAACTACAAAATGGTCAGCAGGTGTGCACGTATGACACCGCTTCACGAACGTGGTCTCTGGCAGTCGTCATAAAACGTGCGGTGCCTTCGCGCTTATTTGTGATCGAAACTGGTGACGGGCGTGTGCTACGCCGAACAAAATAGCACCGGCATGGGCCGGCGCCTCAGCAATATCAGCCAGTCACCACGGCGGCTGGTGAATTGCCGACGCAGCCGTAGCAACTGGTCACCACAGCGTTTGCTGAATCCACTGGCCGCCAAGCCCGGAAAGAGCCCTCAACGGGAGCCCCACCATCAGAAGACCCTCAAAGCCACGAGCTCAAGAGGAGTTCAAGGCAAAGGCGGAGCCACGTCAGGTACCCAAAACCAGGACTTTAAGCGCGATCGTACAAGGTTAATATTTTCTCTTCCTTTACCTTTTTTTCCCCAACTTCTCGTTAAAATTTGTTTTTGTTCGAAATAGATAAGATGTATCGCAGCGTAACGAACTGATGCCAAGTCAGCCTTGCCATCCTCATCACAGCTGCGCCGCTAGGGCATACTGTATATAATAACGCCTCACGGTGGATACAATAAACATTGTTGACCTGAGAAAATATCGTAAGGGTGCAGGCGATCTGGTGTTTTGATGTTTCCGTTTTTACCCCAATCTCAGGTTAATTTAGCATGATCGTTGACCGCGCTACTTGCGTACGTGTCATATACGCGACGGCATCTTTTTTTTTTTTTTTTTTTAAATTCGAGCACGAACGCCTACATCAATTTCTTCTTAAATTATTTTATTTTAGACATACATTAGGTAATCTAGGTTATATAAACATTATCCCCGATGTCATAATGACTAACACTAAAACTCCTTCTCATGGTCTGGCGACTCTTGATGGGAGTTTCATGTAGGCGTCCGGTTACATCACAACACCAATTTTCGTCAAGTATCAATGCTAGGGATTATTTCTAAGTGTACAGAGATCTAACCCATATTCGAGCTGGCTAACAAAAAACTCAAGATACACATCCACGAAAAATGGCGCAGACATCTTTATTTTATACGATTAAGAGGATATAACAATGCCTCGATAATTCCAAAGAATGTGTACTGGTTTGATTGGAAGTACTACAATTAGTTCGTATAAAATGCCAAAGAGTAGTCAGAAAAATCAGAAGCAGAAACCGGCGAGTCAGAAATGAAAGGTGCCATATCGACTACTGCAGATATAAATTTGCTCTGCAAAAATTGTTTCAACACAGTGAAGTGTTTATACAACGCCGGAATTCAGGAATCAAAACCGAATGTCTATTTTCCGGCCTACCCGGATGCCACTGACATTCCTTATAATATTTTCGAAGAAGCTACTTTTAAACGGAACGGCTTCAGCTGAATTTTTATTATACATTGGCTCACCTGAAAAAATTGCGCAGGACCAGAGACGCTCCAACTGACTAGGAGTTCATGAGAACTGAGTGGGTCTGCATGTAGACCAATGGGATCTGGAAAAGGATTTACGCACACATCCGAAACTTTCCCTCTTTTGCTACGACCTACGAATGCATAATATAAAATGCCTTCGCGTACATTATAAGGTGTCATCTCAAAACCTTAAATACCAAACACGTTTTATTATATGATTTTCCGATTTATAAGAAATGTAATCTAGGGAAATCTTAAATGCGTGAACATGCAGTTCTTCTGCGAGACATTTTCAGACAACCTTCATGGTATTGTGCATTATGGCAGTAAATGTCGCACTGGTTTGCTATACCGGCATGCACAGCTGAGCTAGAAATTAGTTCAGAAATTGAATATACATATAAAGCGTTTTATTGAACAAGTCTATCATATCTGTAACACACAGAGCACGCTCCAACATATCTCCGGCTTTCAACAATATATGTGTAGGGATGCGATACTAGCTTGAAATAAGTTAAATCAAATGTCTGAATTCACATATTTGCATCCTTGCTTGGCTTCCTTAACGATATATGCTCCATTATTGCTGATTACAAGACATAATTGAAAGACACAATTCGCTTATCAATAGAAGGGCAATTAAAACTTAAAATATTTCCTCCAATAATTTTGTTTCGAATTAGTTTCTCTCCTCATTACAGCTTCCATATTGTCTAGAGCTAACAACCACTCTGAGACAGACAATTATGCTTGCAAATCTAGTCTAAAGATATTCCGGATTGTTACTTAAAAAAAGCTATTATATGTAAGACTTCCACTGAAATGAAGGTTGAGTTCTAGCAGAAGCGAATATTGATTGTCACTTTCCATTTTAATAAATAAAGAACGATAGGTGTACAATAGCTACTTGCCACTAGGAATAGTAGCTATATCCTGCGAAATCTCCGGACTTCGAAAGGTGATGTTACGGTTTTCCGCGGCATTTTCTGCCGAGACAAACACCCTGTACTTTTCTCCTGGTTCAAGCCACAACCTGCAGTTCATCCAATTTTGATCATCGGGTCGCGTTGAAGAAATATCGAGTTCCATATTTCCGGGACGTCCTCTAATCGGACTTCGTGGTTCCCATCGAACGTGATATTTGAATGGCAATCCATTCCAATTAACAGGATCCACGATGCGTAGTTTCACATTTTTTTGCCCAGTTGAGATAATCTTGAGCTCCCTTGGTGCGGAAGGATCTGCATAGAAAAAAATATACATACAACCGGAAGCAGGTAGTTACACTCGGAAATTTACCAATATGGTGATAAATGCAGATCAAATATGCCTACGCATCCCCAGGGGCAGGGTTCCAGTCCCGGCCGAGGTGCCTGCAATCTGCGAAGGCCGACAGCGGAGACGATGACGTGAAACCGAAATATTTCCAGCTGTTCGAAATTAATCCTCCGTTTTCCGCTGGGGCGTGCCAGATGACCCTTGGTGGTTTGCACGTAAAGCCCCTATATTTGACTTTGATAGACACCAATCATAAATGTAACCTTGAAGCAATTCTTGTAGTACACATTCGTGCTGCGCGCCCTCAAGAATGAGGGATTTACAGCGTGACTCCAGAAACAATTTACAAGGTTTTCTTCTCCTCAAAAATAGACTACGCATCTTCGAAAGCTCAAACTCCGCCCAAATGTAGCACTAGTGGTTTGAACCTGATACCAATCTTTCAAAACTAACCGTTATCTCCATCAAAAGCTATCGATGATTTTCCTACATTATTTAATTAAAAAAGCTGGACGACATATAGCTCTCAAATACATTAAGCTGAATGGTGCCAGTGACCGACAACAATAAAAAAAGGCGACCAGTTTCCCATTGAAAGTTTTAGTAAGTTAGAGAACTTTTTAATTAGATAATAGTTCTTTTTGACTCTTTAGCATCTGGTTTGGACCTCTAGCACTACAATTAAGAGGAGAACGAACGTTCGGCAATACGTATGTTATTTTCGCGGTGAAAAAACCCTTCGAGGTATTTTGGCGTCCAAGCTGCAGAGTCACTAAATAGGCTACGCTTCAAATTGAAGACACCTCGGTCATCTTGTTGCTTAGAAATATAGCTGCTAGTTATCGTAAGTTGTATTTTTTTGTTGCAGAAAACACTTTCCAGTCCTCATAAAATGTTAAAACAATCCTCGATAGAGCAAGACGATATCGCTAGAGCTTCTTGATACTGTATCTACAACTCAGGAAACAATTTTTTTATTCGTAACCATCGCCATCTACCGCTGGTTCGCAATAAGCATCATCATGGGCGCACCCACAAATTAATCGGGAAATTAAGTTCCCATACTCTAAGCCTAGCCCATTTAGTTGTTTTAGGTCAATAGAATCTGACATTGATAAATTTATGCAATGATCTGACCTAATCCTTATGAACACCAACAACGCACAGATATTCAGTTGGCGCCACCATCAAGTCTGACTCCGCATTTTTCAGCCCTGGATATTTTGTTTGTAAGTAATCCGATAACGCATCGGAATTGGTTATTTTTTTTTATAAAACACATTATACGCAGATAGGTTGTTTGAAGCGAGTCACGTAAATTGTAGAATGATTGTAGCTCACAAATTGTAGCTTACGTATAAAGGAGTTTTCTTGTTTCCAGGACTTTCCTGGATTAAGAAAAGGCAGAACTTCTCGGAAATACATTTTGTATCTATAGCTTTATTTCGTGTCTAACTGTTAAACAGCCTATAGTAAACCATTCGCACGCTACTTCTCGCCTCGGAAACAAGACCCCTTATCTTTTTATTTTCTTTTTTTCTCCTACAATCGGCCTGAGACATTTTCAAAAATCGGAGTTACCCCCCTGTCCCTTGTGGCTTGGGACTCTCACGGTCGTGTCCTGGTTTCTTAAAAGGAATGCGACAATACACGACCATTTTTTTGGCCGATATTAAAGATGAAACCCAAAGATCCAAAAACTATGGACGAAATAAACCACGAAAAAACGCCTCCAAATTTACAGATAAACATACCGCGAGAACATGGAACTCTATATATATACCGTGTCATGGTGCCAATCAGAGTTTATTTTGTGTAGTTTTGTCAGCAAAAATATTTATATTCATATTATTTAATCTTTAATAAAATGTTATTAAAGATTAAATAATATGAATATGAATATTTTTGCTCACATATTTTCGCCCTTGTTCGTTGGTTTTCCTTGTAAGAGTTGTTTAACTGAACTTATGAGATAATTTTTCAGAATGCAAATAGGATTTTTTCTTTCATTATTTTTTTCGGTGCAGAAAATTGCTATTTTAACAATGAATCAGGCCAGAATTTGTATGAAGTAAATCAGTCCGAGTTATTATTGAATTTCTCTGGAAGAGTCGGGATAAAAGATTTCAATGCAGGAAGAATTGAGGTAATTGTATTGCTCGCTTTCCTTAAAAAAAAAGCATTCCTCTGAAATATTATACCTCCATAGTTCTATTTTATTGCGCAATTCATCTGAAACAAGTCTAAGTCGATTGTAGGGTTATGCTACAAATAAACTTCAAACAGACAAAGGGGTGTCCTTTCCTTAAGAACTCCCCTTTCTTTCCGTGTATGTTGTAATTTTTTTTTTCAATCATAAATAAAACTGCCGATATTTTTTTTTATATCTTAAGTGAAAGATCACTTACTGTACGCATGCGTTTGAAGTTCCAAAACCACTGCTCGTCCTAATCTCATTGGACGATGAACGACCTCCTCGCTATTAGTGTAAAACCTCGTCTCAGTCGCGCTCTTTTTCAACGTGTAAAACCTCCTCAGTGTAATGTTGTATTCGGTCCACGGTTTCAGACAGGATACATTGTATTCCGTGAGAGTGGGCTCCAAGGTCTTCTGGAAGGTGTGGCCCAGCGATCTTCCGGTCAGAAAGTAGCCGCTGAGTTCCAGTGGAAATCTGCTGTTTCCAAACAGCTCGACACCCGTTGACCACGTGAGAAAGGCAGAGTTGTTCGTGATGTGGTTTGCAGTTAGCAGCAGGTCCTGTTGCAGGTATTCTCTCGGTGCTAGATGTTGTAAGATAAACAAAACACGATGTGTTACCAACTATTTTAATTTTACACCGTTCATTTTGCATTCAAGTTTCAATGGTCTATCTATAGACATTGAGAGGTTAACAAACGCAGGGCGTAGCCAATTGTGTTCAAGCCTCCTGGTTCGCGCTTTGTACTTCGGCCTTCTTATTAGCTAATATTACAATCTGATTGGCTGCAGGGCCATTACCATATACATGGCACTCGCCATGCATATTATAATGTTGTACGGGCAAGCGCTGACAACATTGGAACTTTGGAATCTAAAGCCTGGCAGCGAACGGACCTACCCGGTCTACTGAGTGACTGCCTCGACGTCGTTGCTACAATGCGCACCATCTGAAATCGAGTCTCCTGTGGTCTTTCTAACGGCCACGTTGTAAAAATGGCCCAAAAAGAAGACAACGTGGCAAGAGCGCGGGAAAGCACTCAAGCAGAAGAACGCCACTGCCGGGTACGGCCATCGAAAGGGACAGTTCGTAGCTTAGAAGTTCATCAACTAAACTTTTACAGTTCTGGGGGTTGCAGGATGGCGAATGCTAAACCCGTCAATCACTATTGATCGGTGCCCGAAAATATTTCTTTCAGATGAGGACTATGACGCTTCGGAGCTCCATTTTGACTTATGCGCTGCGACGAACAAGAGGGACGATTCTAAAAATATGCTCTTCTTGCAGACAGAACTGCGCGGATGATCTGTTTTGGTGTACCCGTATTGAAATGTGAAAGACGGTGAAAGGTTCTCCCCGTCTGTCTGAGACCATGTCATAAAGATGTGTTTTCCGGCTCAACGAGGAATTGCTGCTGCGCAATTCCGCGCGTAGGCACCCAGTTGACAGGGTCAGAAAGAATGCTTTACTTTTTTTCGGTGACGCGCCAACGTACTCGTTACCTTTCCAAATGTCTAACAAATAAGGTATCTGTGTTACTATTTTAGCGTATCTTATTTCATTTTACGTTACTCGTTCTTTTTAATTTTTATTTTTTTTAGCTTTAAGTTAAATTATGTTGCCTTTTGTGAACTCGGCCAAACAGGTTCACATTTTGTTTCTTCTCTATGGCATTATTTAAAATTTCTTCGTTGAGAAAGTTAACATTTCCGCCCCGGTTGCCAAAACGAATCGCAAGGTTATTCATGGCAGCGAAGCCACAACCGTCCTTGGTCGACCCTCCTCGAAGTAACTGCCTCTCTATGTGTAGTTAGTTTCACACGAAGGCTCGTTTGGGCAATGAGACATCCGCGATAGGTTCACAAGCCAAGTAAATCAATGCCCTTTCTTCTTATCCCTTTCCGCTCTCACCTTCTTTTTGCCGAAGCTTGGACAGCAAGCAGGCCTGTCGCTCCAGAAATCATTCATTATAATTATTTTTTGTTTATTTTACCAGTTTGTTTATTTTTTTGTTTTTGCTTTAGACAACCAGAACCTACCAAGGACGAGGCCATGACGCTTTGTTTACATTCACAGGTTATATGATGGCCCTGAGAAATAATCCTCAAAGGAACGCGAAAAAACACACAAAAAACATAAGAAATAAGTACTTAGATTCTTTCCTTCTCGCGTCTTGTCGCTTTTTTAAAGCGACAAGACGCGAGGGGCTGTTATTTTGCTGTATGTCAATCGGCGGTCCTTGCTCTCCAGCTTTGCGAACTTCCATTTTTATTCTTGAAGGTTAGCGTTTACTCTTTGGCACACTGGGGTTGTATCACCTTGTGTGGGAGGTAGGAACTTTGAAACACACCGTGAAACGTTCGTACTCTCCAGTTTGATCCTCAGCCGGTATGTTATGTTACCATCATGTACATCCCAAACAGCTATAGCAACGAAAGCGATCAAGTCTTTTCGAGCTAGCCGCAACACTTGTCAAGTGGGCTCCTCCGCGTGTGCCGCGCAGAACCTATTTTTTGTTAGTCTTGAAATTTCTGTGCAGCTTTTGTTCTTGTGAAATGGGGGTGTGGTGCGTAGTGCTATTCTCTTATAACAACCACACCAGGCATCGGAGTGCTTGAGGATCGTGGCAATCAAAAAGCTAAGCTGTTTTGTTTTCAAATTTTTGCCTTAGGGTGATTCCACGTCAGTTCATGCAATGGTGGTCCGGGTCATAATTTTGATATTTTTGTTAAACATATATACAAAAGCCATGTTCTTGGGTGGAACATTCCGCTATATATGAACGCCGTAACGTTTTTTTTTTTTTTTCGCTGAGATATAAAATAGAGAAGCTCGAGGCGTGGAAATTGAGATTTCACTATGCTTCTTTGCACAGTCGTCATTTTCTCATCGAAGCTTTCACGTTACCATAACTTTTTTAATGAATTTCACAAGATATGTACAACGCATACCCAAAAAATTAAAAATATCAATAACATATTTCTATGCAAACAAAAAAGTCAAACATGGCATAAAAACACGTTTAGAGACATATTCACAATTTTTTTGCACATAAACTATCTTCTATAATACTTCACAAAACATATCAAAATGCGTGCCTTTGAATTTTCTTTACGAATGTATAAATATAATATGCCCACCCTTAATTGTTTTCTTGTTATTAACGCGGAAATGCGGCTGATTTCACAAAATGTGTCAAGATTGGGCGTCAATATTTCAAAAACTCCCTCTTTTATTTTTTTTAAACTCCCCTTGGCAGTTTGCAGTGACATGAACTAACCTGTGATGGCAAAACATTGAGTAACATATGACCTCCGAATGGGAAAAGCTGCGACAAACCTTCACTCGAAGCGAGCCGACGTCTCGTTATAGCGGCTTTGCCGCATAACGTCCCCTTCATGGAAGCGTCAAAAGCTGGAAAGCGGGACTCAGTCGTAGAGAGCGGAAAGTCGTGATGTTCCGAGCATTGCTTTATCGTTGTGTGACTATAACCCCCCCCCCCCTTCCCCCGCCCTGCCCTCTTCTTCCCGCCCCTTACCACGAGCAAGAAACGCCTGCGAACGTCACCGCTTGCGGTAGTTAGTAATCGTAAGCACAGCACATTGCCTTAAAACCCAAAGCTGTGAAGAGTCAGTTACTGCAAAATAAGGCGACAGTAGTTGTAAGGGAAAATATGCATGTCAGTTGTTCAGGAAACATTTCAATCTAAACCCAGAGACGAGGAAAAACAAAAATAACGGACAGTGCGAAACGAACTCTCAAACGCAGCTGAACTTATTCACAAGAAGAATGACAATAAATGCATGTCCACGCGGAAAGAAATAAAATAGGGAAGATCAAGACATGCGACCGCAAAGGCTTGACCGAACCTAACCAGACAAACTAAATCATCCAAGGTTAAGGACAGCAACGGGAACGGGCACCTCTCCCAAGGACCTGAACAGATAGTTTGCACCACGCTATGCGAACCGACCGAGACCGAACCCCTAACCCCCTCTTCTATTTTACTGCCGTAACCCCCTTCCCCAACACACACACACACACACACACACACACACACACACACACACACACACACACACACACACACACACACACACACACACACACACACACACACACACACACACACACACACACACACACACACACACACACACACACACACACACACACACACACACACACACACACACACAAACTACACTCCATCACCGAAAACCCCAAAAACATTAGAATATAAAAAACTTTTAGAAGGTAAAAAAAAAGAAAAAAAGACGGCCGACTATCGCTATGCTTAGAGGAGACTCGGTGTCTTTGGTGCTCAATAAGTGGTACTACAAACAAACAACACCAGCTTAACCATGCGCGACGCACCGATTATATCTACAATGGAAGACAGAAGTTGATAACCACAAGGACATTTTCTTTTCGAACTCTGACCGGACATTTGGAGCCAGGAGAGAGGAATTCAGAACCTCTCAAATAGGCGTTTGCGAGGACGTTTGAAGTTCTGTCATTTACGAAGCGAGTAAGAGTCTAGTGTCAAATCGATGAGCCATGGCCCAACGATTCAGCACCGTGCGATTGTTCTGTGTGGACTATCTACGGAGACACAAGAAGAAAGTGTATAGCGATAAGCACCTCGTATCGGTAGGGAGACTCAACAAAGTACGGTTGGAAAAGCTACTGGCTCCGCGGACAGTGAACAAATCTGACCTTTTATGCCAACATTGCTACAAATACCTCCAGAATGAGATTGCTTCTCCTCACAACGTGAGTACATCAGACTCTTCTTTCCGGGACTCTGGTGAAGTTCAGGCTGAAGTGAGTCAAGAATTGTGTGCTGCTAGTCCGTCGGTAACTCCATTTAAACCACGTAAAACCATTAAAAAAAAAAAAAGGCGCGAAGCATATTTGAGGAAAAAACAAGCTCAAGTGAGTTCTTCGATTAGAAGAAAGCTGTCAGGCGTTTATGGCATGAAAACCGGCGAAGACAGTTGTGAGCACTGCGCGGAGTGGTTTGACGCGTTCCGCGAAGCACTGAAGGCATGCAGTTCCCACCAGGAACGCAAGCGATTGTACACGCTTCTGCGACCAAGCATCTCGAAAAAAGAAATATTGCGTCTGGTGCCAGAAGCGACTGCCTACATGATTGATCAAACAAAAAAACTGAAGCGTAAAGGTTGTGTATGGGCAACCCCTGATACCTACATGGGGAAAAAGGCAAATGCCGAAGACGTGAGAGTTGCACTTGAGTACTACACACGCGACGACCTCGCATGCTCTATTCAAAGCCCCAACAAAAAGGACGTCGTCAAAGCCATGATCAACGACAACAAGACCAAAGTCGTAAAAAGGTTTATCACCCGCTCTATTAAGGAAGCTTACCAGCAGTTTAGGAAGGACCATCCCCATCGAGAACTAGGCATCTCTAAGTTCTATTCCCTACGACCAAAATGGGTAAAAAAGAGTCCCGAGCATGAGGTGTGCGCTTGCATATATTGCGTCAATTTTCAGTTGCTTTTAACGGCAATAACAAATGCCTCACAGGAGACATTTACTGAAGACGACTTCAAGCGC